GTAGGAAGCCTGCAAGTGCAAGTCCAGCATGGCTGACTTAGCAAGACCTTGGTTCAAAATAAAAAATAAAAACAGGCTGGGGATATACCTTACCACAAAGGCCCTGATTTCAAACTCCAATACCACCGCCACAAAAAAAAAAGGAGTGTACTTTTAGGGCCCAGGCCACGTAGATAGGACATAGTAAAGCTACAGTGTCTTATCCCAAAACTTACCATACACACACATACCACTCCAACTTGCACCCTGCCACTCGGAAGCGGTACTTCCACAGGATAAAGAAATGCTCTCTTTGAGTGTACAACTCACATCTTGAATGAATCCAAACACAAAGATAAAAGAGACGTGGAACACTAAGAAAACCCTGATAGACAGAAAGAGACACCAAGAAACTAGGTCAGGAATTGACAAATAGTTTTTGTAAAGGATGGGATAGTAAGTATTTTAGGTTTTGCAGTCTCCATGACATATTGGTTTTTGTTTGTTTGTTTTTATCCTCCCCCCAAAAAAGTTATCGAGGAAGATTCTGCCCAAAGGCCATAGTTGGCTGGCTCTGGCTTAGGGCACTGGAGCCCCAAGAAATTGTTGGTTGGTGAGGAACGTGAACACGTGGTATGAAGAATGCCCTATGGCTATGGCCGAATGATGGATTTAGAATGTTTTAGCTGCCTCTGAAACAAAATACTGACATTAATGTGTTTCTCTGTTATTGCATACGCTATAAACAAATCAGAGTGGCTGTGTTCCAGTGAAACTTTACTACACAAATAAGCAACAGTCTCAACGGAGCCCACCATACAGCACACTATGCTGACCTCCACTGCTCTAAGACAAGTCAAGAATTTTAGTCTATCGGTAATCATCCAAACATCAGCAACTATAATTCTTCAAACACCTGTCACAGACACTGAAGATCCATTTATAGTATGCTGGGCACCTCTGATGATACCAATATGGGCGCCAGGGAGATAGCTCAGTGGTATAGCACCTGCCTGGCAAGCATAAGGTCCTGAGTTTGATTTCTGGCACCAAAAAAAAAAAAATATACCAATATAGGGATGGGACAAAGAGATTTTTTGGTGTGTGGGGGGTATCTCTTAACAAGACTTATTCAAACCAGATGCAGATCCTAGCCACATAGATCAACTCTTCACTCTTTCAGGGCAGACATCTGCACAGCACACTGCACACAGCCTGTCTGGAAAACAAGGGGACTGCAAACCAATGTCCCATGCAGTGATGTCCCACCTCCTCACTGCTCTGCGTCTCAGCTAAGTCACTGAGCATCCTGCATCTTATCTGACATTAACGGTCAGAGCTGCCTGTCTGTCGTTACTGACCCTGACAGACACCAGGGCAGCACTCATCATCACACTGGATCTCTAGTTTCCCATGACTGGCCTTTGGACCACACCAAGCCTTAAAACAATCCCACCTGCTCAATCCAAGTTACGGGCGCCGAGAACTGACAGCCAGGGAGAAAGGCAGGCTGTCAAATTTGAAATGATAGAAACAAAGTATCTGCTTTAGAACAGCCTTAGGAAGATGGTATTAGACAGCCTTTCTTATTTTTTTCTTAATGCAATGCTTCTCCAAGGTAGCAGAGATGGTGGGTGGCAATGATGCCCCCCTGTAGGGAGACATTCTGGATTATCAAAACTAGGGAGGTGCTTGTGGTACCCAGTGCTACAATCTTATCACACATAAACAACCTTCCATGACAAAGACTTATCTAGCCCCCCAATGTCAAATAGTACCAGGTGAGGAACTCTGTCTTTGGGTGATGACAAATGATGACCCCAAATAACTCAGGCATATAGACACAGTCCAATTAAAGTCCAGAAACCCAGCTAAAGACCACTTTGATTGATATGTCAAGTGGATGTGATGAAAGACTACACCAGCAGTGTGAGTTAGACTTGCTGAGGAAGCCTGTTTGTTCGCTGTTTTTGAGGAAAAAAAAAAAAAAAAAAAAAGATGAATTGATGTACTATGGTTTATCTATAAAAGAAACAAGGTGGAATAAATAATTCCTGTGGTTTCTTTGAGATGCAAAGTTCCTTGGTTACAAGCATGCAAAGTGGGTGAAATTCTAACAGGCTACTCTGGGGTTTTGCATTACTTTTTTTAAAAAAAAACCTCTCTGGGAGTCTGAAAAAGTAAAACCAGGTCCTTTGTCCTTTAGAATGCGAAGGAAGTCTTCCCTCTGAGATGTTCAGCAGTACATATGAAATAAAAAGAGCCAAAACAACTAGCAAAAATGAGGTCTATAAATGTGCCAATCGTGTGGTTTTTTCCTGTCCATGGAAAAGGGTTGGTTGAAATAAACAGAACGAAATTACTACTGAGCTATTTTTCTTCCCCTCCAAAAGTACTATAAGGAACACAGAGAACCAGGAACTTTAAAAAAAGCATCTGTCACCTGTTACATCATGCACACAGGCAACACCAACGGTGACAATCTGCTTTATTCTTTCTTTTGTTCCCCTTGGTGGTTATTTCTACTCTGGAAACATTACAGAAGATGTAAGTCAGTAAGTAACTTAAAGCCACCCTCTGAAAAAGTACCTTCTTATTTTTCAGCATAGGCTCTCAAAATGGAGTCTTACATGTATCACATCAAAAACAAGCATTTTATCTGTGAATATAAAAGTCAGTGCTTCCACACATTGACAAATGTCAAAGGAATACATTATAAGCAGACAGCAAGAACACTCAAACAGTAGGCACTGAAAGGTAATGTCTACACGGTCCCTCAGAAGAAGACATCTCTTAACAAATAGCTATCATGCCGCCAGGTGGAGACCCATGCCTATAAATCCCAACTACTTGGAGGCTGTGGCAAGAGGATCACAAGTTCGAGACCAGTCTGGGCAACTTGGTGAAACTTGGTTTCAAAATAAAAAGGAGGGCCAGGGATATAGCTCAGCAGCAAAGCGCAAGGTCATGAGTTTTATTCCTGGTACCAAAAAAAACCCCAACAACAAAGAGAAAAAACTATTGCCGGGAGTGGTGTCACATGCCTATAATCCCAGTGCTCCGGAGGCTGAGGCAGGAGGATCATTGCAAGTTTGAGGCCAGCCTGGGCTACAAAGTGAGCTCAAGGCTAGCCTGAATTGCACAGTGAGACCCTGTCTCAAAAAGAAAAAAAAACAAAAAACATTAAATAAAAATAAAAATTAAGAAAAAATAACAAAATAAAAAGGGGGAGGAGGGGCAGACATGTAGCTCAGCGCTAAAGCCCTGGATCCAATTTCCAGTACTGTCAATTAAAAAAGAAAAAAGTATCATGTCACCGTGTTTCCTAGATACTTTTCAAAGAAAAAAAAATCTATATAACTGAATAGGATTTCCTGTGCTTGAACTCTCTGACCAAACAACCTACCCTGCACGTTCCCAGGAATCATCATTCAGACTGTACATACTTGAGAACATGTTCCTTCACTGGGTCACAAAGCAGACACCAGCCTTCCTTCATCCAATCCCCCTGCTGCATGTTGTGAATATCATAAACCCAAAATTGGGGCCACCATTGTCTTGATCCAATGACCTGACTGCCACTGAACAATAACAACAGGTCACCCTGTACATATCAAGTGTAGTCTGGGTATTTAGTGACCACAAAACATAGTATGATCCATATTTCATTTGCAGTTTCTGTTTTGTTTCATACAGTATTTGTATAAATAAATTCTTAATTTTTTTATTTTAAAGAGAATAAAAACTAAAAAAAAAAAACATTAAAAATGATACAGAACCTCTAAACATGATGACAGGAAATCAACAGTAGCTGTCATACTGCATACTAGCATACACACACAAAGCAGCTGTCTAGATCACCAGAAATAAGCACGCAAAATTGATCCAAAAAAAATTAAGCATTAACTGTTTCCCTCAACAAACCAACAGAAACTAGCAGTACAATCATCCCAGTCATTTTTTTCTCCCCCCTTTCTTTCTTTTTTGCCTTTCCCTCATCTCACTTGTTCTTTATTTATTTATTTATTTATTTTGTCTTTTTGCGACATGGTCTCACTATGCAGTTCAGGCCTGCCTTGAGCTCACTTTGTAGCCCAGGCTGGGGTCAAACTTGCAATGATCCTGCCTCAGCTTCCCAAGTGCTGAGATTACAGGCGTGCGCCACTACGCCTGGTTGTTCTTTCCTTTTGAGCAGTTTCAATAAATTCTAGTGTATATATACATACAAAATATCAGAAAGACACACTAAAATGTTAATTGTGGGTACTGCCTAGAGTAGTAGAGTTATGTGTGATTTTTCTCCTTCTTTGTTTATAGCTTCCAACTTTTTCTATAAAAAGCATAAATTTTGCCAGAAGAAAAATAAGATATATTTCATATGTATTTTTTTTTGTACTCTACATAATTTCAAAAAAGATTTAGGGCACCTAAAAATAAGCAACAAGTACAAAAAGGTTTCTTTTAGAGTGAGAACAATTGGAGACGAGAACAAGAAACAAAAGCAATCAAGTCTGAAGAAGCTGAAGTTTGAAACTATCAGCCGGGATATATGCTGCCCAGCTGGAGAGATCTAAACCTACTGATCACCATAAGAACGCTCCCTCCCACCTTCTTCACGCACCCCCACCAGCTCTAATTAAGTTTTGTTGAGGCAAAGATAATGACAATATTTTCCTGCAATTTCCTGAATACACTCACATGTGAGGTCAAGGAGTTCAGATATATGTTGAGGGAGGAACAGGCACTGGGAGTACAACCCAGAAAACGCTAACCGACCTGCCCATTGTGCCTGGCGCAAAGTGTAAGCATCTGTGTGTCCAAGGTCTCAGAATACTGCATAGGGCATTGCTTTACCTTTCTAAAAACATCACTGCATGTGCAACTCACTGCCATGAAGACGGAGTATGGGACACTTAATCCAGGGCAAGCCCAAGTCCGGGAGCGTCAAGGGTCCTTTCAAGCCAAAGTAAGGTCACATTCAATGAAAAGATACCCCCCCACCCCCGTGTCACAGCACTCACCATACGCTGTCATGACGCCGGCATATGGTCCGTCCACCACATTCCTGTTTTCTTCCGCCAGTGCCTTGATGTACCTTTTGCTGAGGTCCAAGATCTGCTCCCGAAGCATGGAGCTGCTTTCAGGCTGAGTTCGCTGCTGGATGGTAAAATGCAGAAGCATCATCCCCCAGATGAAGCCGAAAGTCACCAGGAAAAAGCCTAGCTTCTGAGAAGACAACTTCCAGGGAGTAAAGAGAGCCATTGCTCTCCAGCAACTTCGCCTGCTCTTGCCTCTCAACGCCTAGAAGGTAGACTCGAATTCATGGTGTAGGCTGCGTCTGTGTGGGTCTCACTCCGGCTCCTGCGTCAGCTGATTTCCTTTCCTTGCTTCCATTCTGTTGCAAAAGAGGAGGGGGAAAAGTTAGGAAAGTGGTCAGTTATGGAAAAATACAGCAAAATAAACTAGAAGCCATGATTTTACACAGACAACGCTACGTCAAATATCAACTTCCTTTTTCTCTTAATGTGCTGGTTCAGTCTCTCAGGTTATGATTCAGGATCCGTAAGTTGACAGAGGAAATCTGGCTAGGTGACAAGAAGCGGTACAAAAACAGAGGGGGAAGTGTATATGAGTGTATTAACAGGTGCAGTGTGGCTGTTCCCGTCTGGACCAAGTTCAAAACAGGAAGCTTGTTTTGCAAGGTGGGGAGGAGATGGAAGGATATTTCACTGCGGGTCAGCAAAAACCCAAGTGGAGGGTGGAGTCACATCATCACTGGGCACTTTGTGCTTCTGTAACTCGAGCTTGACTCATTATTATGTGCCTGAGGCAAGGATTAGAGCCTGCAGCTGCAGAGGTGAGCAAGAAAGTGGACAAGGAAGGGGGAGAGGTCCCCCAGATCTTATTTGTGCATGGCCAGCTTTCATTATCAGTGTTCAGAGATGAGATGTTTCTCTCAGGGGTCACCAGGTAGCCTCTCCCAGTGCAGCAGCACAGAGAAATGCCACGGTTACAACCAATGGTCTTTCTGTTCATTGTTTCGTTTTTGTCTTGTTTTGTTCTTTCGTGCTGGGGATTGAACGCAGCTCCGGGGCATGCTACGGACACACTGCACTCATGCCTAGCCCCTCGATTCAGCTATCTTGAGCAAAAACCACCTCTTTCTGCCCGTTTGCACGCTGAAGCACAGGAAATACGAAACACCTGGCTGTCTGCTTTTCTGTGGTTCTCACTTTCACTCCCACTATGAGGTAAAGTGAAAAGTCAAAAGGCACCAGATCCCCTTTGATTAGCAGTGCAGGCTGGGTCAATGTACCAGTGTGTGCAGATACCTGCCCCGCCCTTCAGCCCAGATCCTGGGCCCGGCATCCAGCCACTGACAAGAGCGCCACTTGAGCAAGAGAGGCTGAGCAATGATTCCCTACAAGGGACTAACTCTGGGTGTATTTCAGAGTGTACATGTTTTAGTTCAAAAGTTGCTTTGCAAGCAGCCTAAGAGCACAGTGAGTAGAATCTTACAGCAATTTGCGTTCAAGAGAACAGGGCAATCTGGTAATCTGAGCAATTACTTTGAAGATAACAATGTGCAATGTAATAACCATTGTTAATTTCCTACCACCTTGTTTTGAAATTCTGTATCTTTTTATTGTTTTTGTTTTTTCTCTTTAAAATAAAAAAAGAGCAGTGCAGCAGATCTCTGATGGTCAGTATCCACTGCCTTCCCCTCACCTATATAAACAGATCAATCAGTAGTTGGTATCTCTACTAATAAGAATAGTAAATGATAAAGTCTATGTTCAAGGTACTGTGATAAATGCTTTTTTTTGCCTTAGCTCACCAAATCCTCAAAAGAGTTTTAGTATTAATATTACTATACCCCTTTAAGAGAAAAAATTTACTGATGAAGCAGTAAAGATGCAGAGCGACGACTTGGCAAAGGTCAGCCAGCTACACAGCAGAGAGCTGAGGTCCATAAACTACATCCATCTTCCCCTCATCATTCCCCTCCCCCACCAGCCTGTCTGTAAGGTCAAGAATGCTATATACATGCTCAAAGGAAAACAACTAAGAAGAATATGTAACAAAGATACTACGGAGTTCACAATGCCTAAAATATTTACCATCCGGTCCTTGGCAGAAAAGGTTTGCCAACCTTTCAATTCTAAGCCAGTAGTTGTCAAAGTGTGGTCCCTAACTCAGAAACATCAGCACCATCATCTCTATAGGCCCCACTAGACCTACTGAATCAAGCTTCTAGGTGGGATGGGCAATCTGTTCATTAGGGGCCCTCCAGGTGATGCTGATGCATACTGTTCTGAGCCTCTGAGCCAGGCAGCTGGCTCCCAGGTGCACACATTCCATCATCACACAGGGCCACCACAATGTCAACATGATTAGGCTCAATCTTTGTCTTGTAACCCTATTTACCATGAGCTCCTCTGCCCCGCTGCATCCTACACACCTGCCAGTGTCTGCTCATCTCCATAAACCCTGACCATCTTTCAGGTGGCTCTCCATTTTTACGAGCTGCTCCTCTCAGCTGGTCGGCTCACTCCTCTGTATCACACACACAATCCAAACCCAGCCTGTTCTCTAAGCCTGACCTCCTGTTCCATCTGCTTCAGACTATATTCCCCACTACTCTGTTCTACAGTGCTCCCTTCCTGGTCTAAAGTCTTAAAACATATGTCTGTCTACCTCGGATTGTTTACCAGTCTCTACGGGGACTTTAGATTCCATCCTAATAAACCCTAAGTAAGGGTAAGTTGAAAATATCGTAAGTGCAAAATGCATTTAATACACTTACCTACCTAACAGCAAAGCTTAGCGTAGGCTACCTATAAAGTGCTCAGAACACTTTCATCACCCTATAGTTGGGCTAAATTATCTAACACAAAGCTAAGCTGTAATAAAGTATTGACCGACTCATGTAATTTCTTAAATACTGCACTCGAAGTGAAAAGCACTTGTCTGGGTGAGCTTTCACAACATCCTCAAGCTGCAAAATGTCAAGGTGAACAGTCCTAAGTCAGGAATCATCTCTATGTACCTTCTCAGAGGGAGATACTGACCCCAGGGACCCAATAAAGCATCAAGCAAAGGGCATTATGGCGCCTTATTCTGCCTTCTGAATGCTGGGCACTGTTACAACAGAAACTGCCCCGTTTCCCTCCTCCGTGTGTTCTCCAAGTATACAAAGACCGTACACTGGCTGTCTGCAGGCTCTGGGGAAGGAACACTGAGCAAGATGGCTTTCCCGCTGTGGCTGCTGGTACTCTGAAAGCTGCCCCTCTAACTGGTGCTGGCCCTACTTCCTCAGGAAGTGGCTGCGCTTCCTTTCCCATAACCCACACGCATTCGTCATCCCAACTGAAGGGATTTTCCCAGGGCAAGTGAATGAGGTGCCACACCAAAAAAGGTTCACCTCCTCAGTGAACCTTACCAAAGAGGCTGCTGGAGGTGGCACAATTTAAGTCCTAGAAAGACCAAGGGCTGGAACTGGACAAGGGCTTTTAAGAAGGTGGAGGCTTCTAAACCTTCACCTCAGCCAAGTTACAACCGCCTGGCTAGTACATTCCATGGGCAAAGAGGTCACCAAGAAACTCAGCTTAGATGAGATTATTCTAGCTCAGAGAGATACAAATTAGGTGTGAAAATCCCTAGCCCTAAGTTCAGAGCACTTGAGGGAGCCAATTTTAAGTGACTATAGAGCTGCCAGGACTGTTCTTTCCTCTAGTGGAATGTAGAGTGTGAAATAACAGAATCGGCATGGGCCGCACACAAAGAGAACCACATTAGAATTCCTCTCTGCAATTTCTATTAAGAGGACAGAATTTAAGACTTTTCAAAAGCATTATTCAGGAGATGTCCCTATCTCCCACAGTAATAGGAGGATAATGAGGAAGATCCAAGACGGCCATCAGCACAGAATCTTGGTCTCATAAAAGGACTTAACGGTAATCATCTGTAATGGACACACAATTAATGGAGAAACCTCAGATGGACAGTCATCAAAAAGTAGTTGTTCCAGCTCAGGAGCTGCTACCTAGACTTAGCAGCTGGGTCTTCCAGCTAAGGGAGGCCAACAGATACAAAAGACACTACCCAGTATATCTTGGAAGACATTGTTGTCCGCCACAGCTAATGACAGCCCAGGGACATGACTTCACCAACCCACCTCAAGGCAGAAGTGTGCAACAAGTCTGTCTGCAGTACTAACCATCCCAATGCGCATGCCCTTGAGCTCCTGTATCCTGAAGGAGCAGCAATCACTTCCTTCCCACTCACTCCTCCGCACAGTAAAATCTGGCTTCTACCTTTCCAAATGTGGTCAGCGATCTTGACCAAATAAACAGGTCAGTTCACCTAATTTTTAAAAATAAGCACCCCCCCCAAAAAAAACTCCTCACATAAAGAGTTGTTCAATATCAGTAATTACTAAAGGAAAGAGAAATCAAAAACAGTAAGATAACGTGTTATACCCATTAAGATGGCAATAGTAAAAAAACACAAACAGAGGATGTGGAAAAACTGGAACCCTCACGTAATACTGTTGGAAATGTAAAGTGGGGTAGCCAGTGCTAAAAACAATCTTACAGTTTCTTAAGTATTTAAAGAAGGAGCTATTATATGACCCACACAATTCTGCTCCTGGGAATTCTTCCAAGAAAAATGAACACATATGTCCATACAAAAAAGAGAATCCAAATGTTCATCACTAGACAAATGGAGAAACAAAACTGGTACATGTGTATGATGCAGTCTGTCTTACTTTTCTCGTTACTGAGACAAAATACCTGACACCCAAAGTTAAAGGAGGAAAAGTTTATTTCAGCTCAGAGCTAACAGAAGGTTCAGTTAGGGCTCCAACAGAAGGGCTCCAAGGCAGGGTGGCATAGCAGAGGAGAAGCTGCTCATGGCAAACAGAAGGCAGCAAACAGTGAAGTAGCAAAGCAGCAAGAGATGACAGCAGCCCTCTTTCTGTCTCATATTCTATCCAGGCTACATGCCCCTAAGGCAGGTAGCACTCACACAAAGAGTGGGCCTTCCCACTATCCACACTCAGAACTATGACAAACCAGTGGACTAATTTAGTAATCACACACCCTTGATCTCAGCATCACACACTTAATCCCACCACCAGTACCTGCCTGGAAGTGTGAGATTGTGAGTTCAATTCCTATTACCACTACCAAAAACAAAGAAAGAAACAAACAAACACATACAAAAGAACTCCACTACCATATACTTAATTCCAGCATCGCACACCTAGATCCAGCCACCTCCCAAAAGCTCCACCTATGACCGCATAAGGCTTTGGAGCAACATGTAGACACAAGCCATATTTGGCCATAAAAGGAATGAGAATTGATTATGCTACAATGTTAGATTAACTGAAAGTTAAGAACAATAGGTTAGTGAAAAAGAAAAGACAATAACTAAAGACCATGTATGACTCCATGGGATGAAATGTCTAGACAGGTAAATCTCCGGAGCCAGAAAGTATATGAGTAGTTTCTTAGCACTGGGGTAGTAGGGTGGAGATAGGGAAATTGGGAGGTGATATCTAAGTTATGCAGGTTTCTTTTCGGGGTGACAAAAATGTTCTAACATTGTGATGACAGACACATAATTCTGCAGACGTACTAAAAGCCACTGAGTCGTGCATGTTGAGAGAACAGGATCCATGAATCATATCTCAAGGCTGTTAGGACAAAGGCAAGCCCATGTCTACGGCTGAGGACAGGAAGAGGAATAAGCCAACGAGCCTCCCAGGCTGACTGCAGCCTTTTCTCTCATTCCTCACAGCAGAGCCAAGATTAGGCTACGCCACCGCTAAGGGCCAGTCACAGACCTAGAAATACAAGGAAATCTGCCAGACATGGTGGCTTTTAGAAAAAGTGGTACTGAGGATCAAATCCAGGGCATGGCAGCTCTTACTACCTCTAGATCAACCTCCTGATGGCTCCTGGCCCCTCCCTCCTGATGGCTCCTGGCCCCTCTTCTCTGGAAAATGCCAATCTCTCAAGGCAGGTAAAAACATTGTGAAAGACAACCCAGTTCCAATCCAGTAAGAACCAGACTAATGAAGCAGGTTTTTCAAGTCCAGCACCTCATGAGGTCCCACACCTTCCACCATAACCTCTTAATAGAATGAAGGAAGGTGGAGAAGGCCTTTCCTGGAAAAGTAATGCCAGCCCCATGTACAAATACCTGATCTTGCTCCTTAGCTCCACAGGACAATGCTATCACAACTCACAGTGGACCACGCTGCTCTTAGTCACTGCATACCTCTTGTCCTCTCCGGCCTGTAAATGGTGGCAATGGGGCCTACCTGTATCTTCACCCTGTGCAGTAACATTCAGGAAATCCTAAGTCAGCCATGCTTACCCATGTTATTTTGGCAAATCCCACCCCTATCTCCAGTCTCACAACTCAACCCCATATCCTGCAAAAGGCCTACCGAGACTCCCCAGATTGCAAAAGCTCATCTTCCTTGGAATGCCTACCATTTCTGACCCTCCTGAAGAGCTTCTTGCCCAATGCTCAATGGGATAGTCTTGTTTCATCTCTCCTATTGGCTCTGTGAGCCTCACAAAGCTAAGAAATACCAGGGATGGCTATGTCTTCCACACAATGAATGGTCACTAAGCACTGCCGAGGCTAGGGTGGTGAAAATGGGATGAAAACACAGTATGGAGGTGAGCAGTGATCTTCACTGCCCCAAGACCTCCTTGTGAACCACAAAGGCCTCAGGCACCCTGAGACCACATTCTGCATCTCATAAGTCAGAAGATTTTTACCCTAAGATCTTTTCCCGTTGTAGTGAAAAATTATTCTGCCCTTGAATAGATAGGGTTAAACTGAAGTGGATATGCTGGTGAACAGGCATTGAAAGAAGAAAACAGGGCAGAAAAGCTCCAGGGGAAAAAAAAATTCTAGACAGGCAGAACACTGAGATTATGGGAACAAAAGGATGTTTAAGCCAAGGAGCCAGGGAGGGGGAGGGGAAGGAGAACCTTCCATGGAGACGGCTGGCTTCGTCACTGTCATGCTAAGATGAGCCCAGGAAAGGACACAGAAAAGGTGGTGAGGAGAAGCTGAAAATACCCCCCAACAAGCCTGGAAATCTCTGATCAAAAGCTTATTCTATCCGTTGGCATTCTGTGATCAACCATGAAACTGCTTACCTCCATTTCAGCCTCAAGAAGTGGGGAAAGTTCTAGAACCACGGAACCTAGAACTGAATGACTAGGGGTAAGTGATCTGAGTTACTGCTTTTCAACTGTGTTCCAAAGGACTCTGAGGATTCCTAGAGACAAATGTCCCAGGAATTTGACAAATGATTTTTCTGTATTGTTTGTCCTTTTTTTTGGTTTAAAATACATTCTCAAAAATTTGCTAAAATGAAAAATAATTTGTTAAAATGAGTTTTATACATGTATCTTAGGACAATAGATACAATCAATATACATATCAGTTTAAACTGTAGAGACCAAGAACAAAACTTCCTTGGCTACCTTTGTATGTGGATTTTTGAACTGTGAATTTGCATGTTATTAGTTGAGAAGTTAATGCTCAGTGGTGATCTTGTTTGCTTTTTCATTTCTTTGTTTCCTTCTCTCCTCCCTTCCATTCCTCCTTCCTTTATTCCCTCTCCCCGCTCTTTCATTTCTTCTTTTGTTCATTTGTCCACTCATTTAGTCTGTCTGTCTCTTTGTGGTTTCAGGGACTGAACCCAGAGCCCTGTTCATGCTAGATTTACTGAGTGCTCTACTATGAAGCTATATCCCTAGCCTTTGTTTGCTTATTTTCTTTTTAAAATTCACATCCACATATCTATTAATATAAAAGTGTATAAAATACTACTACCTTAATTTAATGCTAGGTGAGGGAAGGTAATACACTGTGTGTTTTAGAAGCTTATTGCCCGACTATAACATAAAAACGTGACAGTCATCTCTAGATGTTAATGATCCAACTCTGAAAAAATTCTACTTCTCTTTCCAGCATCTACATCAATTTACATTAAGAGCTGTGCAGGGGCCCGGCAAACTATTTCTAAAAATAGTAGTCATTTCCACTCAAAATCAGGTGAATCTGGGCTTCTGAAGCAAAACATGGGACAGAAATCCAGTGGGTACTAACCTGATCAACTTAAAAGGAAATATGATAAATTAAGATGTTACAAGATATTTTTATGTAGACTGGGGAACTACAATCAATTTTACTGAGGATAACAGTGTACGAATCCTCAATATACAGAGGAAGACAGTGAAGTTCATAAAACATGTTTTCCAGCGAGAGTCAAAATCAAACTATTACGTAAGTTTTGCCACCTAAGACTATTGCCTTTGCCAAATCTGGCTGAATCTATCAAACTCCTGCAGAAATGCAGAAGACCTTTTTATACAAAACACAAACCCCAGGATGATACAAAGTCCAAAGACATTAAGGAGCTATGAGTCTAATGCCACACTCCACCAACCTCCAGGGGCTGGGAAAACCAAAGGATGAAGGAAAAATTCACATTCGCAGAATTACTGGAATAAGGAAGACAGATGGAATGGGGAGTGAGGGGTAGAAAGAAGCTTCTGCTCTGAATGTGGTTGTCTTCTGTTACTTAAAGGAGAAGCGGAGGAGAGAGGGATCAGCAAAGCAGCTGTAACCTTCAGATACATCTAAATTGCTGGCAAGATGCTGTGAGGTTTGTCCACTTCCCTGGACGGCCTGCGCTGGGTCTCCAATGCCTACCACTCACAGCTGTGATAGCTGCTGTGCTCGCCCCCAGCACCAGGGAGCAAACTAGCTCGAGCAGACAGACACTGCCGGGGAGTGGGTACGAACAGAGATCCTTACCTCTGCTTCATGACCTTGGCCTTTTTCTTTAAAAACAGGAAAAACCCATTCCAGGAGAGAACAGCCTTTAGAGCTAGCTATGCTGGTCTTCTGTTGAGTCATAAACGGAAAGGTGCCAGCTCAAACAACACACCTTGGGCTCCTTCAGGGAAGCAAACTCTTTTCATGGCAGGGTTTAAAAAAAAAAAAAAAGCCTGTGCCTCTCTCTTTTACATTTGAAATGGTCAAAATAAGACAGCCTGTGTCGCAGTTTTCATTTGTTGTGCCACATTTGTACTCTTACTCTGCGCAGAGAAAGAAACCCTCCCGCCCTACCCATCGGAGGCACAACATTTGCTCCGCAGTTACACTGCCCACTGAGTGAAGCTCAGGTCTCCATTTCTGGCATCAGTAGCAAAATAAAATTTTAATATTCTAACAGGGTTAATGGATCCAGATGCAAAACACACTTTCCTTCTTGCCTCTGTTGCTGCGCCCTGCCATTCACACACAGCTGTCTCCACTAGAGGGCATGGCGGGGAAGAGAAAACGTTGGAAATGAACCTCTGATGATATTAATGACTTCTCCTCTTAGGTGTGCACATACTAGCAGGGTGACAAAGAAGAAAAAGAGGACAAGGGTGAGCTGGAAGCGGTCACTGCTGGACTAGATAAGATCGCCCCATGCTCTGAGCTCATTCACCAAGACCACAGGTATTACAGTTGACAGAATTTTCCATCAACACAAAATGAAACCACAGCAACCCCAAGAGTTCTGAAAATGTCTATTTTACCAAAGAAAAATAAGCACAGATTTGAGAAATGAAATAAAGTTCTTTAATATGGGTGTCCCAGTCATGGCACAGTTGACAAGCGGGGCCAGTTAAGTCTTTGTCCCACGCACTGTTGGACGTTCCCCTGGCCTCCAGCCACTGGACGCCATTACAATGGTCCCACCACTCTCCACAAACTGGGTGGCGTCTCCCCATAGTGCCAAGTGTTCCCTGAGGGATAAAGTCACCCCACTGAGAGGCACTGCCTTAATCAGTCAGCAGGATCTTCCACACCCTGGGGAGATGCTCAGGTCATCTGTACGTCACACTACAGGGCAAAAGAGCCGAAGGCAGGGGTGAACTCAGGAGACCATATGTCAACCAGTCTCCAGGGCCTGTGCCACAGTTGTGAAGGCCACAGCGAGAAGAGAAAGGGCTGATTTCCCAAAGCTGTCCCGGGCATCGGACACAGGGCATCATTTTCCTCCATGCTCTTCAGCGCCACCATTGTGGAGGCACCAGCAGAGGGATTTGCTCCTACACTGGTAGTGTTGCTGTTTATTAATTCGCTTATGGCACTGGGGCTCTGCTCAACAAAGATCCTAGTTCATAAATCAACAGGCACAGGAAGCGGGGCCATGAGAAGATGTAGTCTGGACGAGGTTTCATCAGTCTTTTTTAAAAAGCAGCACTGTCATCTGGCTGCCAGCCCAAGAAACCAGGAACTGGCATTACATATGAGGTCGGTAATGACTCTGAAGAAGAACAGGAGAGTGTGGGGAAAGATCACACGCCGTGTAAAATTGTTAGCTAGGTGTCCTCAATATTGAATGAAAATGCTCAAAAGATTTGCTTCCACTCAGAGCCAAAGGACAGTAAAGACACAAAGGAATTTTATGGTAAGTACAAAACTCACCCTTTTCCTTGAGGATTGACTTTTGCTAACTCCCTACACCTAGAAAACACCTGTGAATGACAACAGGCCCAAATGGCCCCCGGATAAAGAAAAACAGTCACAAATTACCAAAATTACTTCTGAATCATGGGCAATGTTCATTAATCAAGGACTCTTCTAGCCTTTTGGCCCAACTACTGTACCCCAAGCCCCTTCTTCCCACCGACCTGGGGAGGGGACAAAAGCTGGGTGTTGGTCCACACTGAGAGTACTCGAGCTACCCTGTCTGCAAAAGTGGGATGGTCCTCTAAAACTTGGTTTGATAAAGACCACCAGATTAAACACCATCATACTTAATGTGCAAAGAGGCATCCCTCACACACACAGCCATAACTTGACGTGGCCCCTAAGAGGCTTATCAGATTTATACCTTAGAATGAATTTCTCATTACTTCTCAAATAAAGACAGTCATTCCATGTGAAGCACACAGAATCTTCTTATGGAAGAATTTAATGATCAGATACTTTTGATAATTTCACTTACTCCTCAATTTATAAGCCAAGGTCAAGTCTCCCAGACATGGCAATTATCTTGGGCCAGCCTACTTGGTGCCTGCTTAGAAATCCTCCAATCACACAAATGCCCAATTAGCTTGAGTTAAAGGGAAGCACTTCAGAGTTTCCCCACCTTCACCCTTAGTAGAGCTAAGCATCTACTAAACTAGGGTCTTTTGACCCTGATTCACTAACAGTCACCTGGGCTCCTTTATAAAAAGTAGCGATGTCCAGTTCC